GTACCACCAAAAACCAGTGGGATTGGCACAAAATCCAATTTTTTTTCCCAAGCCTCACCTTTGAGCCCTTTAAAAGGGGAAATTCTACCTACCTGTCCCCTTGGGAACCAGGCCAATGAACGGGAATTTCTTAAATTATTTTTTGACCAGCCATTGATGAAATTTTTTCCCAGGAAAGTAAAAAGTATTTTCAGTCACCATGGCAAATACGATCTTATCACCACAGCAAACTACACAGGGGAAAGAGACACTGTTTTCAAAAGTGTATTTTTTCTTTTTGCAACAATAAAGCTTTTGCTCACTCTATAAGCAAAAAAAAAGCATACTGGTCCCCAGACGTAAATTTGTACCCCATCCTTTATGAAATAAAACCAGTGAACAGGTTTATCTTTCTGTTTTTTATGTTCACTTTCTGACAAAACCAGGCCTACAGAAGTGACAGGGTTTTACAAGATTAGAAATGTTTTCAAAATCTCAAACAAAAGTTCAGGATATACTTTTTTTCCATTCAAGAATCTTGTAATTGACGAGTCTTTGATTTTGTTCAAAGGTAACTTCATTTAACAGTATAACCGAGCAAGAGGGAAACGCTTTTGGATAAAATTGTTTGTACTCTGTGATTGTGACAGTGGGCCCGGAGTTGGGGTATTTTTTACACGGGTAGTAAAACATTGAAAAATACCAAAAGTTATTGGGGATTCCCGGGACGTATGAAAAAAAAAATGGCCCTTATCTGGTAAGGGGCCCTACATTAATACCAATAACGGTCACAAGCCCCTTACTCATGATTTATGCGAGTAACAAGACAGATGTGTGTGGCACAGTGCTTCTAATCGTAAACATATGCCCAGGTCAACGAGGGGTTCTGGGATGACTGCAGGTGTTAAATGCCAAGACATCATGGCATACGGTGGGAGACAAACAGATTTACATTGTTACAACCATTCACCGTAAGAAATGCAAAACAGTGGGAAGTTTATCGGTGACTAAGAACGTATTCGAAAACCAGTGTCAGTGTTGATTTAACACAAAAAACGCTTTTGGTTTTTCAATGTGACTGCAGATTGGTTTGTTTACTGTGTTTGAAAGTTTCAATGGGCAGAAACTTTTCTTCCTCTCAGGGCTTTCAATGCGAATGCATATAAAGTACCAAATAAAGACTGGTAACAGACCACCGTATGGGGAATTTTGTTTTTCTGTTGCAACAACTCAAATGAAGTACCAGGGAACAAAACCTGCAATACAACGGTCCTCCAATTACACGATATACCCAAAGGTTTTTAGGAGAGAATATCATTTCATAAACGCTCCTTTAACGCAAAAGAAATTTCTCAGAAGAGTGCATTGTCTTGCACAAACAAAACGACGGCCAAAAAAGACCAAAGACACCGGTTTTTTGTGTGAGGAGTAAAGGTGCCTCTGTGCATGGTGCCTTTTTTTCAAGGAGTTCCACAAGCTCCACATTCAAAACCATTCCATATTGTAAATAGTAATATTTAAAAAGAACTTAGTATTATACAATATTGTGCATGTTTATTGTAATCCCCAAAAGTGGGAAAAAATAATATAATAACTTTAGGCGGTTTTATGTTTCAATACAGTGAGTTTATTTAAAATCAATTTTTTAAAAGTTGGTCCTAGGCCCCAAATGTTAGTAGGAAAGAAAAAAATTGGAAAAAAAAAGAAAAAACAACAAAACAACAAAATAAAATACCTTGTGAATTCGTCGATGTTGCCACCACCAATAATTTTCTATAAACTTCTGGCACTGTACCGGTAATACTGATCAGATCTAATTTTTTTTTTGTTTTATTACCTTCACAAAAATATGCTCTTTAATTCTGTAAGAAAAAATAATTTTTTTTTTTTTTTTTCAAAATTTCTTGGACACTGGTGCGTGACTTCAGATTTTGGCCTTGGACCCTGAAAGGGTTAAGCCCTGTCTATATTGCTTTTCATATTGGTGTTTCTTGTCAATGGATTTCAGAATGGTGCTGGTTAGCCATGGGCAACCAAGCCGTTTGTTTGTGATCTGTTTCGTTTTTATAGGACAATGTTTGTTGTATAGTCTAAGTAATTTGTTAAGAAAAATGTCTGTCCAGTCATCAATACCATTGGCCTTGGAGAATTCTGTAGGCCAGTCAACAATCTCTAGGTCAGTTGTGAACTTCCTTATTGAGGCCTCGTCATGGAGTCTAAATGAGACTTTGTTGTATTCAAGTGGTGGTTTATTAATGTTTGTCAGGAGGAAGGTAGGGTAGTGGTCTGTAGTGCTATCTGTGATTATCCCTGATTTAAGGGGGGCTAGTATATTTGTCCATATGTGGTCTATTATGGTTGCACTTGTCTCAGTGAGCCTGGTTGGTTTAGTTTTTGTTGGTATGAGAAGTGTGTTGTTAATATTGTTGATGAAATCAGTTACAGGCTGATCATCTAGTAAGCCAAGGGTTTATGTTGAAGTCTCCAGCTAAGAGAAGGTGGTGCTTATTCATTTGTCTGTTTGTTATTAGTGACTTTAATTTCTCACTGAAATTTGGGATGTTTGTGTGAGGTATCCGGTAAATGGCACCGATTGTTATAGGTGTCTTAAGGTTTTTTATAGTAAAATTAGCAAAAATGTATTCCCCATATTCATCACTAAAGCAAGTGGTGCTAATACAAGATAATTGGTTAGAGTAATAGATTGCAATACCACTCCCAACTTGGTTTGGTCTGCAGTTGTGAATTGCTGTGTATCCTGGTAGAGGGTAGATATCTATTGTGTCCTGCTTAAGCCAGGTCTCAGTAAGAATAATGCAGGAGAAGGGTGTCTTTAGTGATTCAAGGAGTGCCAGGAGGTCATCATAGTGTTTGCTTAAGGACCTGATGTTGTAGTTAACCCTTTCAGGGTCCAAGGCCCAAATCTGGAGTCACGCACCAGTGTCCAAGAATTTTCAAAAAAAAAATTTGTTATTTTTTCTTATGAAATCATAGAGAATCTTTTTGTGAAGGTAATAAAACAAAAAGTACCAAATTTGGAAGAAAATTGACGAAATTATGCTCTCGCGAATTTTGATGTGTCAGCGATGTTTACGAATCGGCGATTTTGCCGACTTTGACTCCCATTTTAGGCCAATTACATTATTCCAATCAACCAAATTCTTAGTTATTTCACTAGTATTACTTCTATTCTATCGATTGAGCACAAGAAATCGCCAAGTCAACTGTTTCAACTACAAAATAAAGTGATCAGAAATTGTTAATTTGGCCAATTTAACACAAAGTTCAAAATATTCCAATTTCAAAATAGGGTTCAGAATAAACAATGTAGGCATTCCTGGCACTAAACTAACATTTCCTCTGTTCATTAGTTATGTTTTGAGGCTTTACAAATAAATTCCATTTTGATTTTTTATTCACATAATGAATTTTTATTCACACCATAAAATAGAAGATTTACTGTTATGCAATACTGTAATAATTGTATAAATATCATCACCATACTTGTGAATGTATATTAGACCCACCAGCTGACGTGTATTAGACGTGTGAGGTCGTTTGTTTACCCCTTGAATATCGGCAAAAATTTAACATTTTCCGTTTATTTTGAGCTCAGTTTCAAGCCATTTCCAGTGCTAAAACCAATGAAAATCATCTCTATTTTTGTAATATGTCTTCCATTCTATCAAATGAGACCAAGAAATCGCAAATACAACTATAAAAAACATATGAAAAAACACTGCAAAGTTGCTGTTTTAATCGAAAAATCATGATTTCAGTTTTTTTCTCTCATACAGTGTGCTGCAGGATCTGTTTTATGTGGTGCACACATACCACATAGATGTATTCTCTCATATCTAGGCCCAAATGTCCCACTCACAGTTTATCAGAGTGAGCTGAGCTCTTGGCGAGATCTAGGGTTTGGACACTCACCATAAAGCCGTAGATCTACGGGACGGACCCTGAAAGGGTTAAGTACTGATAGGCTTTTAGCATTGTTTAGGATAGTGCTGGCTTGTGATGCTGTGTAATAAAGGCAGTTACTTTCCAATAGGTTTTGATTGGGTGTCAGATTATGGAGGTTTAGATCAGGGTCAACGTGATCAATCATCTTCTAGGTTTAAATTATGGTTATTTATATCCTGAGTTATGTGTTGAGTTCTAGTACTGATATCTGTAGTGGTGGGAAGCTTGGATAAGTATATAGCTAGAGTATTTTGGTCATATAGAGTATAGTCACTACCATTTCCCACCAAGGCAGGGTGGCCCAAAAAAGAAAAACTTTCACCATCACTCACTCCATCTCTGTCTTGCCAGAGGCATGTCAAGTCCTAAAAACCATTAGTCTCCTTTTACTCCTATCTAACATGCTCACGCATGGTTGCTGGAAGTCCAAGCCCCTCGTTCACTAAACCTCCTTTACCCCCTCCCTCCAACATTTCCTAGGCCGATCTCTACCCCACCTTTCCTCCACTACAGATTTACACACACTCGAAGTCATTCTGTTATGTTCCATTCTCTTTGCATGTCTGCACCACCTCAACCCCTCCTTGGCCCTCTGGATAATAGTTTTGGTAATCCCGCACCTCCTCCTAATTTCCAAACTACGAATTCTCTGCATTATATTCACACCACACATTGCCCAAACACTAAATGACTGTAAACATAAAATTCCAAAAATTCTCATTCTTAATCTCAAGTTAGTCCTAAGCTTGCCTATAATACTCTGTTATATAGGTGCTTTCATCTTTGTAAAATCATTGTAGCATACCAAGATGAAGCCATTCCCATTACTAAATTATGCTAATTTTAATACTATTGTCTTTTGCTACCTCACTATTATAAATCTTATCATAAAATTCCTGTTCAACAGAGCCTTCAAAGCCACTTTGATCTGACTTAATAGCATATGCCTACTGCAAGTTAGTTAATTTTGTTGGCATTAAATGGTCGGTTATTTTTAATTAATCTAATGTGTGTATAATTTACCTATGCACCCAGTAAGCATTGCCATGTTACAGGTGGTGGAAGCCTTTGGCCATCATGAATACCCGTGTGGCATGGGCCTTGCTCTTCTCTCATGGTGCTCTGCTGGTAAGTATAACTTCAGTGTTGTGCTACTTTGCACATGTCTTCCTTGTACGATACTACACTATTTTAATTTCTTTAAAAGGGAGTTGGTCAGAAAATAGAATGGAGGGAGAGAGTACATTAATAATGTAATAATGGGTACCTGGGTGTTAGTGGACTGGTGTGGGTCACATCCTGGGACAAAACTGACCTAATTTGCCATAACAAGCGGCTTTCTATATAGTACGTAGTATGTCATGGATGTCAGCTAGGCCTGTATACCTTGTACATGTACTTGGAGAAATAGATAATGTACTATACAACTACTACTACTAATTACCAAACCCTTTCAGAGAGGTGCCTTCATGCTGGTGAAAGGCTCTTGATTTAAAGAATTGGGATTGTCCTACATTTTCTTGGATTGAGTATGATTGCCTCCCACTTCCCTAGGTGCTGTATGACTCTTATGGGCTTAGCCATTCCCACTAAATGTATTGTATTTCCCTATATGCAGTTAAATTATCCTACTTACAATTTTCTGATTAGTGTAACTCATAAATAACTCATAACCAGTTATGGCACAAAGGAAAGAGGACTTGGGGGTTTCAGCCCCCCATAATTTCCTTCAGACCCCCATTGCCCTTCTGTGATGAAAATTTGTTATTTTGTTATAACATGCATTGCCCTAAAAACTAAGCAGATCACAGCTAAGAGACTTAACAGTCTCTGGCTTACAAACAGCATCCTCAAATCCATTAATAAAAAAGCACCTATATGAAAAGCAGTACAGATTGGGCTAATACCTAGGGACCAGACTAAACATTACTCATCAATACTAACCCGCCTGATAAGGAGGTCAAAAAAACTGTTATTATGAAAACAGATTACATAGCATAAAAGGTGATATGAAAAAGACCTTGAAAACTTTATGTGAAATTCTAGGAACTAAAAAGATATCCAAAAACAGAATAATCAGCCTAACAAAACCAGATGAACCCCTCCTCCAACCAACTGATACTGCCAACAAACTTAGTGTCTTCTCGACTGTAGGAAAAAATCTAGCAAGCAGAACCCCAAGCTCAAGCACTCAACCAACAGACTACCTCACTGGCAGCTGCCCAGATACTCTATTTTTATCACCAGCTAACCCAGCTGAAATCTCCATCATCAAAACACTTAAGAACAATGCTGGAGACCTAAATAACTTACCACCTTTTATGTATAAAAAAAGTTTCTCATTTACTGTCACTTTTTATTCCAACTCTCTTTAACAAATCCATTGAATCCTCCACCTTCCTATCAATTCTCGAAATAGCAAGGGTCATCCCGATCCACAAAGGAGGTGATCCAACTGACGTGAACAACTACAGGCCTATGTCTAACTTACCCCTAAAATCTTTGAAAAATTAATTCATAAACAAGTCTATTCCTACCTAGTCTCCCTCATCATATTCAACCCCATTCAGTTTGGATTCAGGCCGAAAAAAAGCATGAATGATCCTTGAACTAATATACATGGCACTCAAAAAAAAAAAAAAAAAAAAACTCCCCCTGGAATTTTCATTTATCTACGAAAAACTTTTGATACAGTTGATCATGACTTATTGCACCTAAAGTTAACTCTTTATGGAACAAGAGGGCACTCAGCCACCTAAAGTCATACCTTAGCAACAGAAACCAGTATGTATGCACAAATGGAGCTAACTCTACCACACAACCAGTCACTGTTGGTATTCCACAAGGTTGTGTCCTTGGCCTACTTCTCTTTCTCATTTACATCAATGATCTACCAGACTCATCTGAACTCTTACGTATTTGCAGATGACTCTACTTGGGTCTTCTCTCGCCCAAATCCACTCATACTAACACCATAAATGCTGAATTACAGAAAATATCTACCCGGATGATGACTAACAGGCTTACTCTAAATATAGACAAAACCTGCTTCGTGCAGTTTGGAAAAAGGCTTAACATAATGATAAATGGATCGCCCATTTCTAGACTCACGGAAGGTAAATTTCTAGGACTCCACCTTGACATCAGTCTCAAATTCCAGACATATAAAGCAAATTTCTATAAAGCCTCTAAGATAGTAGGCATTCTATCAAAGATACATTACTGTGTACCACAATCAGCTCTCCTTGCTCTGTACCACTCGCTCATTTACCCCTATCTCACCTATGGAGTCTGTGCATGGGGCTCGACTACAGTAAATCGCCTCAGACCCTTAACAACCCAACAAAAAACAGGAGTCCAATTGATAACAAATTCCATCTCAAGGCAGTGTACACTGCCACTATTCAAGAGTCTTAACTTACTCAATATACAAAACACCCACACTTTTTATTGTGCCTACTACATACATAGGACACTGCACTCTAATATAAATCCTCCTCTTAAACTCCTCCTTGACAGCAGCAACATAACACACAAATATAATACAAGACACAGATCACTCTTTGATACCCCTCGTGTCCATCTCTCCCTATGCAAAAATGCTATGTACATAAAGGGCCCTAAGATTTGGAATTCATTTCAAGAGAATAATAAAGGACCCCTGTCTGCAAATCAGTTCAAGACTCTTCTTAGAAATCAGCTACTAACCCAAAACTAAACAGCTTTCAAACTTCTTTCAAATTCACCTCCATTACCACATACTGTGCTAAGGATCACTGTCACTCGCTTAAATCTCAAAACTTCAAAAATAGATGCTCAAAGTTCATTACATTACTCAATACTACATTGTAAAAATCAATACTTGCACAAAATTGTTCCGACTTATACTCGATTGTAACAATCTCGTATTGTAAACTACTTTCAACATGACCCATTGTTATCCCATATTGTAATTTGAGTCAATTTACTGTTGATATATTCAACCTGTGTACTACTTTCAACTTATCCCATTGTGAGTTTCCCATATTGTAATTTCAGTCAATTTACTGTTTGCTATACAGTGGGGCCCTGCTTTACAGTGTTCCGCTAATACGGTGATTTCAAATTATGACCAAAATTTGCTGTACGGCAAGTGATCTTTCAAATATGGCATGCCACGCCTGGTTTTTCATTCTCGGTGAGCACATTTGTTATGTCTGGAAACTCCAAAATTGTTTTGAAGTTATTGCATATTTTATATGTACTCTGATAATTATACTTGTGTACCTGTACCAAAATATACAGTAGACTGTCATTTAACACTGTAGTTACGTTCCTGAAAATGCCATGTTAGACAAAACCGTGTCAGACAAACTGAAGAACTTATGGGGAAAATAGGGTTATGTTCCTGGGAGCCCCCAGAAAGCCAAACACATTTTTTTTTAGACCTCCAGATCTTACAAAATAAGTGAATATGTAATTGTAGTTCATTGTCGTGATATATTACTGCTTAAGACTACAAAATAATAGTATTTCTTACCTTAAATTGTGGGTAATGGTGTTTGTGGATGATTGTGAAGAGTGGATATGGATGGTGTGGCCCTAAGGGGCTGAAGTGGATGATTGTTGGGTGTTGGCAGAAGTGGATGGTAGGAGTTCTGGTACTGAAGTCGATGGTTGTATTGGAGTGTGCATAAATTCTGTAATTGATCTCTGGGCTCTTTTACCCTGCAGTACATTATACAGCTGATGGTAAGGCATCATCAGCTGGTCTAGACCCCATTTCAAAGCACTGCTTCTAGATTTGTCAGGGAACTGCTCACGTAACTACGGCAATGTTAACTTTTTTACTTCAGGTTCTTCTTTGTGTTGGCATTTTTTCCAAATATCTGATCAGCATTAAGCACTTGATGAGGGTGATGTGCATGGCTTAGGGATGGTGATAGGTCTCCCCCGGTGACACAGTGGTGTAACTCTCTAACCCACAGACCATCCCACCCGGCGGGCAACCGCGCGCTCAAAACTTTTTCCTCTTGCGCAACCGTGTTAAATTAATTTTACAAAGTGTTAAACAAAAATATGCCCCAATTCTTTAATCGTGCTATAACAAAAATGTGTAAGATGAAATTGTGTTAAACGATGGTCTACTGTACTTACACACTGTGCTGGTGTGCAGGTACACATTAAAATCACCAAGTGTCTCTACTCTTGACGCCATAGTAGTACAGTGGACCCTCGACTAACACTGTTAATCCGTTCCTGAGAGCTCATCGTTAGTCAAAATTATCGTTAGTCAAGTTAATTTTCCCCATAAGAAATAATGGAAATCAAATTAATCCGTGTAGGACACTCAAAAGTATGAAAAAAAAATTGTTTTAACCACATGAAATATTAATTTTAATACACACAAACTGAAGAAGACGTGCACAGTTACATGACACTTACCTTAATTGAAGATCTGGTGATGATTGATGGGATGGGAGGAGGGGAGAGTGTTGATGGTCTTAGTGTTTAGAAGGGGAATCCCCTTCCATTAGGACTTGAGGTGGCAAGTCCTTTTCCAGGGTTACTTCCCTTCCCTTTAAATCTCTCAAACCAACCTTTGCTGGCCTTAAATTCACTCACATCACCACTAGTTGATGGCATTTTTTTAATTAAATCGTCATGCAACTTCCTAGCCTTTTCACATATGATCGCTTGAGAGATGCTATCTCCTGCTATCTGTTTTTCGTTTTCCACACCAATAACAGTCTCTCAACTTCTTCGAGTACTTGCGATCTCAGTTTCGAAAACATAGTTGCACCTTTGGCAAGAACAGCTTCCTTGATTGTCGTTTTCTTGGCCACAATAGTAGCGATGGTTGATTGAGGTTTTGTGTACAACCTGGCCAGCTCGGAGACACGCACTCCACTTTCATACTTAGAAATGATCTCTTTCTTCATATCCATAGTAATTCTCTCCCTTTTTGCTCTAGGGTTGGCACTAGAAGCTTTCTTGGGGCCCATGGTGACTTATTTTGCAGGTGCAACCACTAAAAAGGCTGTGATAATATGAAATGTTCCGATTGTATGCTTGGAAGCAACCGCGGTGGCTGGCTGGCTTGTAAACATTGGCCAGAAGTGGATGCGTCTCAGATGGAACGAATAGTG